TGGTGATTGTTGGTTTTGGCTGCTCGACTTGGTCAGGCTGATCGAGCGGGTCAATTTGGTCGGCGAAGCATTGCTGCATGCACCGTTGATAGGTGGCGCCAGCGTTCTTCAGACCGAAAGGCATGGTTACGTAGCAGTACGAACCATACGGGGTGATGAATGAAGTTGCGAGCTGGTCGGACTCTTTTCATCGTGATCTAGTGGTAGCCTGAGTAGGCATCCAGAAACAAGAGGATTTCGCATCTTGAGGTGGAGTAGACTATCCGGTCTATGTGTGGCAAAGGAAAATGGTCATTCGGACATGCCTTGTTGAGGCCAGTATAATCAACGCACATTCTCCATTTCTCGGTCTTCTTTTTAACAAGAACAGGATTAGCTAGCCAGTCAGAGTGATATACCTCCTTAATGAATCCAACTACTAGGAGTTTGGTGATCTCTTCGCCTATGTCCATGTGCCTCTCATTGTTAAAGCGATGTAGGCATTGCTTGGCGGGCTTTGAGCCCGGGATGAGGCGTAACGCGTGCTCGGTGACCTCCCACGGTATGCCCGGCATGTCAGAAGATTTCCATGCGAAGACATCGCAATTGGCACATAGAAAGGCGGCGAGCTCGCATTGCTATTTGACCGGGAGCTTGGCCATGATCCGCACCGTCTTGGTTGGATCGGTGGGGTCGATCCCCACTGCCTTAGTTTCCTCGATTGGGTGGAAGGCAGTCGAGGAGGTTGGCTTGTTGCAGTCCGGGACTACTAGAGTCGATGAATTTCCAAGCTGAGGGATATCAGCTGAGTTGATGACGGTAGTGGAGAGCTCGAAATGCTCGTGGTTGCACGTGTAGGCGTGTGAAAAGGTGCTACCCACAGTGATGACGTTGTTCGGTCCCAGCATCTTCAACTTGAGGTAGGTATAGTTGGGGATCGCCATGAACTTGGCATAGCATGGCAGCCCAAGATGGCGTGGTAGGATCCTGGGAAGTCCACCACCTCGAAGGTGAGGACCTCCAAGCGGAAGTTGGCTCGGTCGCCAAACATGACGGGCAGGTCGATATACCCGAGTGGGTTTGCCTGCGTCCCCGGGATCACGCCATGGAAGGGAGAGCTCACTAGGTGGAGCTCCGACCGGGGGATGTACATGGCATCGAGGGTGTTGATGTAGAGAATGTTGAGGCCGCTGCCTCCGTTCATCAGCACCTTGGTGAGGCGCTTCTTGCGGATAATAGGGTCGACGACGAGCGGGTAGCGACCCGGTCTGGCGACATGGGAAGGATGCTCCCTCTGATCAAAAGTGATTAGAGATTCTGACCAGCTAAGGAAAGAGGGGACGGCCGTTTCGGCGATGCATGTCTCTCTGTAGCAGACTTTGTGCTGGCGCTTGGAGTAGATGGCATCGGATCCCCTGAAGATCATGAGGCATTCCTCGGGATTGGGAAAGCTGTCCCCATCCTTGCTCATCGCGCCACCTTTCTTGGCTGCTGCCTCCTTGCCCTTTCCTTCTTTTAGTCTGCTGGCCTGTCGCAGAAAGCGCCTAAGGAGTTCACAGTCCTTGTAGAGGTGCTTGACAGGGTAGGCATGGTTGGTGCATGGGCTCTCCATGAGCTTGTCGAAGTGGTCGAGCTAGCCCTGCTGGGGCTGTTTGTCCGCACGACATCAGGGAGGGAGTTGTAATATTTTGAGAACCTACGGATGTAATCCCGTAGGGACTCGTCAGGCTTCTACCGGCAGCTCTTGAGGTCCTAGGAATTCTAAGGCGGACATACGTCCCCTGGAAATTCCCGATGAAGATACTCTTGAGATCCGCCCAGTCGCGGATGCTGTCAGGCGGTAGGAATTTGAGCCATGCTTGAACATGCTCCCCCACACAGATGGGGAGGTATTGAATGGTGAAGTGATCATCATCCACTCCTCTGGCTTGATAGGCGAGCTGGAAGTATTCGAGCCATATACCAGGATTCATTTCCCCAATGTATTTGGCGATGTTGGTAGGTGGTCGGAAGCGCTGTGGGAACGGTGCTTTCTGGATGTGACGGCCAAAGGCCCGTGGTCTCAGGCCGTCCGGGCTAGGACTTCGGTCGTCTGGTCGACGACCATGCCTAGGGTGTGTTTCCCCGCTCCCCTCGATGGTCCGGCTGGGGCCCATGCCGCATGCTCTCACCGCCCCTTGATCGACGTCATCATCACGCTGGGCTTGACGCTGATTGTTGATGACGCTGCGAGCGTCTCGGTTTGGCCCGAGCCGTTTGCGCACAGGTGGTCGATGTGGAGTGGGCACTGGGTCAGGCTGTGGTGCAGTTGTGGCCTCCTGTTCCACGCTCGGTGACTGTAGTGATGAGCGGATGGAGTGATTTGACTGGTACGCCCCCATTCCCTCGGTAGGGAAAGAGGCCGTGAGCCGATGTCACGACGCGAAGCTCTCTGCCTGTTGAACGACGGCGATTTCCACCAGTGCCCGAAGGTTCCGGTGGATCGTCTACTCCTAGGGGTCGACAGGCTCGGGAAGGCCACGTAGAAGCATCGCCATAGTGGCGATGTTCTGGCTAGCCCGAGCAAACTATGGGGGATCGTTTCCTTCATCCATGATGTTGCGCTGGACCTAGCGGGCGTGACCCCGGGCGTCGCTCATCGGGTTACGCACGAGCGCAGGTGGTGGCTTGCTCTGCCGCCTTTGTCGTAGTTCCTCACCGTGCTCCTGCGCACGCGAGGGCCTCCGCACGAGGGTCCGGAGGGGTGTGAGTCTGTAGGGACTCCGCTACCACCGCGCGGCTGTCCCGGAGCGTTTACCATAGCGCACTCCCAGGACAGAGGGTGGCTAGGTGCCACAATGTCGCCGATGCTGGAGTCGTCGCTTTCAACCTCGTCATCCATGAGGTCATGGAAAGAGGCGGGAGCGTAGCCCGCCATCCTCACGAATTCATATATGAGAAGGGGCGGCGTCAGCATCTTTCGGAGCCCCCACGCGTACGCGTCCACGGGGACGCAAGGCCGTAGGGGAACCGATCTCACGGCGGTTGCGATGAGGACAACGAGGTCCCTCCAGAGAGTCGGCGGAAGATATTAAATAAAGAGTAAAGGACAATATGTACGTTACTCACAGTGGGGTTTGAGCCCGGCGTGGGCTCGGAGCGACGCACAGGTGTCTCGTCGTTGAGGTCGCCGGGTGGCTCGGAGCCGACGGAGGGCGCTCCTCCTCTGGCGGGAGCTGGGACAAGTGCCTCCTTGCGAAGGCAAAGCACACCGAGCTGGTCGGCGACTAAGTCCAGGCGTCCGAAGAGGAAGGTTTGGAACGGCTCGAAGACCGGAGGAACCCACATCCCAACATGTGGGAGCGTGGGAAACTCCAGTGAGCCGAAGCGAGTCGTATCGCTTGAGTTTGTCATGCCGAAGATGGCGGAAAGGTGGGCCATCCAATGACCAAAAGCGTGAACGCACGGCGTCCTCCGCACGGATGGCGCCAACTATCGGTGCAAAAAGTGACCAACAAGTGAATATTTGTAGTTTAGTCATAGGTTGTGATCGGATGTGGCCTAGCACTCAATGACACAGGGTTTATACTGGTTCAGGCAACGTGCTCTACGTTCAATTTCAGTCGATCGGTGACTTTATTCCTGAGTCTAGATGCTCGAAGTTTGCTGTGGGGTTACAAACGAGTGGGAATAAGAATGGGGTGTTAAAGGTCCCGTCGGGCTCTAGACCAAAGGGCCAAGAGTGACTGGAGCTCCTTCGTGCGCTAAGTATTGGAACGTATGCTCTGTGTAACTTTAGAGTTCTAGAGCCGTTGAGCTGTTCGAGTGCTTAGAATGTCTAGAGCTTAGCAGAGAGAGAGTCGGAATGATCGTCCTCCTTTTAGAAGAGAGCGCATCCCCTTTTATAGATGAAGGGAACGACCTTACAAGTTTAGGAGAGAGAGTGTGTGTGTTTCCTAGTCTTGTTGCCCACGTCGTCGGGTACAAGACAGTTTGTCGGTGCCCACAATACTGTTGACGCTCAGATGCATGTGACAGGCTCCATCGTGTTCTTCTGGTATGACAAATATCGACGCCTACCATACTGTAGGACAAATGTTGACGCCCACAACACTGTTCGTGTTCTGATATGTCTGAAAGGTTGCAAAGCACCATTCTAGCATGGCCTGATAAGTACTGTCCTGCATGTGTGCAGGGTACAGTCCTCGGTATTGCGGTTGACTTGAGCGCCTTGCCTTATCTGCTCCGCCTGATTCTTGGGTCCTCACCGAGCGGACGTCCCCGGTCGGTCGTTCCCAATCGGCTCCGATCGCGCTGGTCGGAGAAGAGCTGTAGGCAGAGGTTCGATGTATTCCCGGTCGGAAAAGCGGGTCGGAGTCGGAAGCGAGCGCATCCTCTTCTTGGCCGGGTCTTCCGATCGGAGACTGGATCGCTCTTCCGGCCTGTCGTTAGGTATTTAGGCCGGCCCAGGAGTCGCACATTGTTGTAATGCCGTCTGCTGGGCCGAGCTTTTACTGGTAAGCGGGCCCATCGGGAACCCTGGGTTTATGAACCCAATAAAAGCATACCATATTATATACACAATGTGTAGATCTACTCATATGAAGTGCAATAAAATTGAATTTTTTATTTTCTGATTTTTATATGATTTAATATGATTTTTCAAATATTCAGCTAAAATAAATATATAAAAAAGATAAAATCGTTTTTAAAAACCGCTTGTAAGGAAGGTAAAATAGACGGTTTTAAAAGTTCACGAGCGTAGTTTAACGATAGCTGAGGAGGTAACATGGTGACTTTTTTCTTTCCTTTCGCAATTCAAACCGAAACAGACCAAGTCCATCAATACGTGCGGCCCATTTACATCCACGAACAACTAAAACCTGCCCAACAGGGAAAAAAAAAAGAAAAGAAAAAAACCCCGCTGACTCCCTGAACGCGTCGTCTCTCTGTCCAATCCAACAGATCAGCACCGGAGCCGAGGAAGCCGGAGCGAGAAGGCAACGCGAACCGCAGCTTACCTCGCCGCCTAGGGTTTCCAGATGACGACGGCGGCGCGCCCCACCTGGGCGCCGGCCAAGGGCGGCAACGAGCAGGGGGGCACGCGCATCTTCGGCCCCTCCCAGAAGTACTCCTCCCGCGACCTCGCCGCGCACACCTCCCTCAAGCCCAGGTATTCTCTTCCTCTTCCCTGCACCCACCCCCTTCTATCCGTCTCTTCATCGGTCGATTCATCACCGTCCTTGCCTGTCCGACAGAGGTCTCCTGGCCGCCTGCCCCTGTTTCTTCTTTTATTTCCCCCACCTAATTTTGCGCCTGCGCCTAGCTCCACGGACGGAGGATCCATTGCGGGGAACGGCTAGGCTCCGTTTGCTCCTCGATTTGGGGAGATTTTCGGTTCGATTTGGGCGCCGTCGGTTCGATCCTACCACGAGAGAATCGCCACGGTGTGGCCGTCTCCTACGCCGGCGTCAAACCCTAACCTTCAAAACTAGCCTTTCTGTACCACGTGTGATGTGTTACTACAACTTAAAAATTTGAATTACCCAGTGAGTGCCTACATTAGCATTTCAAAATCATTTTATTTTAAGTGCTGAAAAAGTATATCCAAATCAAATGTTAAGATGGTGTGGTTTTCATTTCTTCCAGCATCAGTTTCTTTTTATAATATACTTTAGTCCAGAGTTGCTTTACGTAGATGATGATGGTGCTATTCAGTAGGAAGTAACATATACCACCAACTATCTGCTGATGTTGAGTTCATTTGACAACTCATTCCACTTTAGATATTACTATTAGTATATGTCTATTCGGTGGTATGCTGAAATATTAATTACTTCATCTTTGTAAGTGCAACATTAAGAAGGTGGCTGCAGAGTCTACCAAAAACCAGAGCAGATGCATGCCTGCTGTTGTTCAGTTGCCATGAACGTCTAGATATTGCAACTGACATACAGCAGGAGCTCTTGCTTCCACTGCCTCCACTTTCGACCAGATCACCGATAAGATCGTAGTCCAAAAAACAAAGTAGTAGTTGGAGAATTGCTGGAGTTAAAATCTGACAGGAAATCCATTAATCCTAATCCATGTAAACATGTTATATTATTCTCTTAGAGTTTTGGTCCAATTGTCGAATTAACCATGTACAAACACAAAGCAAATCATCTTAGGGATCCTGACTTCCAGTCAAATAGCCTACATTGGACAAGTATTTGGCACTACAGTCCAAACTCTCAACTGTTGATAACAGCTTTCATAGTTGGCTAGAAAGATGCAGTATATGCAGTTCCTAGCTGGTATTTAGAAAGGACAGATATAGCATGGCGCTCTGGCCATTTCTAAGATGTCTCACTTTTTGCATTCATGCTGTGTAAAAAATTAATTCACTCACTTTATGCTTGATTTGGTGGAGGGACCTGAAGACAACTTCATTTTTTTAACATCCTCTTTTTAATATTCTGGTAGATAGCTGTTGATTTTTTAAAGAATCTGGTAACTCATACGTTTTTACTACACTGATACAATTATTAATCCTGCTTGATTAGCCTTTCTGCACCACATGACTGCTTGCAAACAACGAAATGCATTTGCATTTGCTTTTGCTCCACCTCTGACAATCGTTATGACTACCACCATGTATGTAATTTGGATTACGTTTGCAAATCGAAAGGGACAGCTAGGTGCTTATGCAAGGTTGAATATTTCCTAATATCCAGCAAGTAACTTGGCATTCTATCTTGTCTAGGAAAAAAAATGCATAAAGCATAGACTTGGTCACATGTCTTGTCCATTGAACGGAGTTTGGAGAGGCGATAGTTGTACAAATCTTAATTGCTGAAGTTGCTTTGTTAAGGCAAAGAAAATTTCAGCACCACCAACATATTGCTTACAAAGATGTATATGTTCCCTGTTAGTATCTGGGAATCACAACCAACCCCCTCACAGATGGTTAAGGTATTCCCTATAATTATCCTCACTGAATGTCTCCGTCAAAGCCGCTGGCTGTATATTTTTGTTGCCAATATATGTCAGGCTGAGGTTTGTTCCTACACGACTCACTATTTTTGCCCATGTGTACAGAAAAGACGGTCAACAGACCCAAGAGGAGTTACAGAAGAGGAACCTTAGGGAGGAACTTGAGGAACGTGAGCGCAAGCACTACTCTTCCAAGGATAAGTCCTATGCTGGTATACCTACTTTCTCTGTCTCGTTCTTTTGTGTTTTCTGTACAGGGTAAGTTTGTAACTGGTATGTATAATCAGTAACAATATCTATCTTCTTGCCTGCAGAAGAAAGAGACCGACGGAAAAGTTCAAGCCAGCTACTCTTAGAAGGTTGGTGGAACGAACGCTGCATCAATATCTGTTTATGCTGTGGCTTAGTGACAACTTATTCCTTTCTTGCTGTAACACTCAGGTTCAAAGAGAGGCCGAGGATAAGATAGTTCCACGAGATATTGATGCAGATGACTCCGATGTGGAGCCTAAAAGTGATGATGAGAGGTATGTATCATTGTCCATCTCATTGATGGGTGTTTATGAACCCTACTTTTGTGAAATGCTTCTGGGATTCTTCTTTCTTTAGCAGGCTGAACTGCACTTGCAACTGCATTAATTATTTTGTAGAATGGTTTCAAATGTTTTTTTTTTTTCCGTGTCAACTTCAGTAAAAATTCGTATGGTGGTATGGCCACAAGGCTACTCACTTCTGGAGTAGTGGTTAATATCCACTATTGTGCATTGCCTAGCGTAGTATCACAATTAGCTTCAGCTTCCTGTGATAAGGCTGCTTTCACTTCAAATGGGCAGAGAAAATAAGGCAGCGCCTTTCTTGACATTGTTTAGAGCAAATATCTTATTTCGGCTGTGTTTCCATAATTTAGAGCACTACCACTTCACTATGCTTGGTTGCTCTTACACATCAGTGCCAAATTGTGTTCAGCGATGAAGATGATGACGATGACGATGACACTGAAGCTCTAATGGCGGAGCTTGAGAGGATTAAGAAAGAAAGAGCCGAGGAGAAGCTTAGAAAGGTTTGTTATCTTTGCATCTCTGTCGTTGAGTCATGATTTTAGGTTTTTGTACATTTGGATTATGGGGATGTAATGAGAATTGTTCCATTTCAGGAGCGGCAACAAGCAGAAGAGGAGGCTAAGATGAAGGAGGCTGAACTGATGCGAGGAAACCCTTTGATTAATATCAACAATCCAGGCTCCTTCAGTGTTAAGAGAAGGTAGGATGCTGGTGGTGAGCTCGTTGTGTTATATAGTATGTTTTTTGTCCTGATTGAAACTACACGTGGGTTATGTCGAGCCTAATCTCGGGTGTTTGTGGTTTCCAGGTGGGATGATGATGTGATATTTAAGAACCAGGCACGCGGAGAGACCAAGACACCGAAACGGTTTATCAACGACACCATCAGGAGTGATTTCCACCGTAAATTTCTGCAGAGGTACATGAAGTGATGGTACTGTCCTGTACAATTTAGATGTCTCCTCCGTGCTGTGTATGGCAGGGCCTTGGTTGATTTGGGGGCTATCATCGTTATTATGTCAATGTATGATGAGTGAAGGTCCATTATTGTGTTGCTGTGTGAAACGAGTATAAACACGTGCCGGCATGCTCACTTGACACCCATGACCAAAGACATGTAAGCCCATGCAAACATTTATCTTATTTGAAATTACTATAATGCCCTTTGTCCTCTTATATATGTATAAGAACCTTTCTTGTACACATGTAAATAAGTATGGTGGAGGCTCTAGAAAATTCTCATAAACAAACAAATTAAAAGTCAACTGTTTCATGTGGGGCCCCAAAAAGGGAAAAATTGATTAAAGATTGGCAAGAAGTTTTACAAAAGAAAATACGAGCATATATGTGAAGGTACAGATTACTTGAAAACAAGAGGGATGTAACAGACAGATCAAGCACTATTTTGTTTGTTTGTTTACATGCATGTAACAAACATCACCTTGTGGGAATATAAACAACAAATAGAGGTGTACCTAATAATTGATAGAAATGTGGGTGTCGATGGGTGCATTATCTTTATCTATGTAGTATAGTAGTACCTTATCATGCATGATTAAGGTAACTTTGTGTTGAAAGTGAATGAAAATGAACATGATTTGGAAACATCTAAACTGCTTTCATTGATCTCTTAGATATATATACAAAGTGAAGGGGTGTGTCCGTACCGACACAACTGTTAGTGTCCAAAGGACATGTCCCTTTGGTGACAATGGTTAACTGTCTATACTAATCCTAACTGCCTCTATCAATGGATGAGATCATCCCTGTGAAACGATGTCGTTTGGATGGATGTGTCCCTTCGTCCATTCAGCCAGGGGGTGACGTTTCACAACACTCCCCCTCGATCGAATCTTCTTTGAGATCAATATAGCTGTATGTTTGAATTCCTCGAAAAACCCCGTGGGAAAAATCTGAGGAATATGTATGTATAGATATGCTATAAAAACTCCTTTAAATCTTATAGGAAAATAAGAAGAAAATAGCATATATGAGTGTGATTTAAATAAATCACTGTGTCATTGGTATCCCATTAAAAACCCTAGTGGGGAAAAATATTGGAGATACGACATATATATTACTTCCCCAAAAACCTTTTCAAGAAAAATATGAGAAGCAATATAAAGTGATATGTCGCTAAAACTCCTATAAAAAACCAGTGGAAAAATTAGGAGAAATATGACGATATATTATTGGTATTGCCTCTTGGATAACTCACATGAAAAACCTTTTTAGGAAAAAAAACCATGTATGAGTTGTGAGGGCAATATGCGTCTTTGATATTTCCCACAAAAACTCCGGTGGGGAAAATAGGAAATATGACACATGCTTATGTTAATATTACCTCATTAAAAACTTTAACAAGAAACCTTATAAGTAAAACTTGTGAAAGAAAAGAGTATAATATGATGCTGGTATAGGTCAACATTTAGGAGATATCTCCCCCTGATTCTGGCAAATCTCGAAGTCGCCGCATACCAATTCCATGTACCAATTTTTGAAACACAGAAGTTGGTAAGGACTTAGTAAATAGGTCAGCGAGATTATCACATGACTTGATTTGCAAGATGTTTATTTCCCCGTTTTCTTGTAATTCATGGGGATAAAACAGTTTAGGAACAATATGCTTAGTGATATTGCTCTTTATATAACCTGATTGCATCTGTGTAACACAAGCGGAATTATCTTCATAGATAATTGTAGGTGATTCGATTGAACCAATACCACATGACTGTTGTATGTGGTTAATCATTCTGCGAAGCCATACACATTCTCGTGATACCTCGTATAGAGCAATAATTTCAGAATGATTAGTAGAAGTTGCTGTCAGAGTCTGCTTAGAGGACTTCCATGAAATAGTTGTACCTCCATGTAGGAATACAAATCCTATTTGGGATTTTTCGTTATGAGGATCAGATAATTAACCAGCATCAGTATAACCAATCATACTAGGATCATGATTTTTCTTGAAGAATAAACCAAGATTCTTTGTGCCATTAAGGTATCTGAGGATACACTTCGCTCCCGTCCAATGACGACGAGTTGGGTCCGCACTATGCCTAGCTAGTAAGTTCACTGCAAATGCGATATCAGGCCTGGTGCAATTTGCAAGATACATAAGTGCGCCAATGACACTGAGATATGGGATCTCTGGTCCCAACATCTTTTCCCCAATATCCTGTGGTCTAAATGGATCTTTCCCTATTTCTAAGGAACGAACAACCATCGGAGTTTTATTAGGATATGATTTATCCATATTGAATTTCTCCAATATTTTCTGGATATAGGTTGATTGATGCACTAAAATCCCTAAAGGACGGTGCTCAAGTTGTAAGCCTAGGCAATACTTGGTCTTACCCAAATCCTTCATCTCGAATTCCCTCTTTAGATGTTTGCGTGCTTCATCTATATCCTTTGGGCTGCCAATGATATTTAAATCATCAACATACACGGATATAATACAAAATCCCGTTCGAGATTTCTTAATGAAAACACATGGGCAATCATCATTGTTAGAGTATCCTTTCTATAGAAGGAATTCCCTCAGTCGGTTGTACCACATTCGTCCCGACAGCTTCAAGCCATATAATGACTTTTGTAGTTTTACACAATACATGTTGCGATTTGCGATTGGATTCGGAATTTGGATTCCATCGGGAACCTTCATGTATATGTCCGAATCAAGTGACCCATATAGATATGTTGTCACCACATCCATCAACTGCATAGATAGATGATTTTGAACTGCCAATGATATTAAGTATCAGAAAGTAATTCCACTAATTACTGGAGAATAGGTTTTATTGTAATCAATGTCGGGTCTCTGCGTGAACCATTGTGCTACTAGCCTCACTTTATATCTCACCACCTCATTGTTCTCATTCCGTTTCTGGACGAAAAACCCATTTAAAGCCTATAGGAAAGACTTTGGAAGGTGTAGGTATTGTAGATGTGAATACCCCTCTTCTAGTGAGCGAAGCTATCTCAGCTTGAATTGCTTCTCTCCATTGAGCCCAGTCCGAGCGCTTTTTGCACTCTGCCATGGTCTTGGGATCTGGATCATTGAGAAAGATTTCTGCAATTGCTGCGGAGAAGTACATGTCGACAACAGTAGTCTTACGATCGTATGATTCTCCAGAATCTATGTAATTGATGGAAATTTCTTTCATCCCATTATTTGACTCAACGTTTCCCAAAACTATGGAGTCAGGGTGTTTCGATATCCCAGGATCAGAATTTGGATGCACCGTTGATCCAGGTTGTGGATTTGGTCCTGATGTTGGATTTTTATCCACTATTGGGTGTCTACCAACTTGAGGTTGGCTTGGATTTACTGATTTGGAGGATTTATCCCTCGGTATCCTCGAACGCTTACTTGTAGCATTATTCTTAGGAGCGGCCGTACTTCTCCCCCTCTTCTTTGGAAGTGGGAGTTGAATGGTTTTTATTGGTACCTCCACTCTTTCGGGCGCATTGCGAGTAGGATAAGAGGATTTAGTGACACACTTATAATCAGTAAATGCTTCTGGCAGGTTATTTGCAATATGTTGCAAGTTTATGATTTTCTGAACTTGTTGTTCAGTCTCTAGAGTACGTGGATCTGAGGGGGAAATGCCTTGGGCATTCCAGATGATTTCCTGGCATTCGTTTTGGTACTTGAAATCTCCCCCTAATGTCGGGAAATGGTCCTCATTAAATATGCAGTCAGCGTATCGGGCCATGAATAAATCCCCTGTAAGAGGCTCGAGGTAGTTGATAATTGATGGAGATTGATATCCCACATAGATACCAAGTTTTCTCTGTGGACCCATAGAAGTACGCTTAGGCAGTGAGATCGGTACGTATACAACGCAACCGAATTTTCGCAGATGGGAAATATTTGGCATATTCCTACATACTAATTGCAATGGGGAGACTACATGATATGCAGTTGGTCGCAATTTAATTAAGTCAGCAGCGTGTAAGATTGCATGACCCCAACATGAAGTTGGTAGATTGCAATTTTGTAATAACGGTCTTGCAATGAGTTTAATTCTCTTAATAAGAGATTCTGCTAAACCATTTTGTGTATGGACATATGGGACAGAGTGCCGAACTTGAATTCCCAAAGCCATACAATAATCGTTAAAAGCATTTGAGGAAAATTCAGCAGCATTGTCCATTCGAATTGATTGAATTTGATGTTCAGGATGATGCGCTCTAAGTCTAATAACTTGAGCAATAATTTTTACAAAAGCATGGTTACGTGTGGACAAAAGACACACATGAGACCATCGAGTAGATGCATCTATTAGAACCATGAAGTATCTGAACGATCCAGACATTGGTTGTATGGGGCCACAAATATCTCCTTGAATTCATTCAAGAAATTTTAGTGGCTCATTTTGGATCTTAACGGGCGATGGCCGTACGATCAATTTCCCTGTAGCGCATGAAGTGCACATAAAATCTAAAGATTTTAGGAATTTAGCAGTATTTAACTCATGACCTTTAGAATTGCTGATAATTTTTTACATCATCCCTATACCAGGATGGCCAAGGCGTTCATGCCAAATTTTGAATGCGTCAACATTCTGAAAAATTACCTTATATGCAACATGCGGTACGGATTTGATGTATGTGTAGTACAATCCGGACGGAAAAGAGGGAATTTTCTCAACAATTCGTTTGTCATATCCGTTATTTTTAGTAACAAGGAGAATTTACTCATTATTGTCATCACGGGTTTATATATGAAAACTATTTTGATGGATATCTCTATAACTTAACAAGGTACGCTTTGAATCGGGATACAATAATGCATCCTCAATTGTAATTTGGGTACCCATGGGGAGTACAATAGTAGCACGACCAGAGCCAACTATCGTAGCATCGCGTCCGGCGATTGTCAAAACATTTCCTTGTCTTTTTGTAAGAGTTTGAAAATACTTTG